CAAAAGTTAATCTAAGGTGCTATAGAGTGGGGGCATAGCTCAGTGGTAGAGCATTCGACTGCAGATCGAGAGGTCACTGGTTCAATCCCAGTTGTCCCCTTTATTTTATTTTATATTAAAATTTTGTTAAACAATTGTTAGGTGGACATCCAGTTTAGGATACATATTCAGTCACCTCCTATTCATCTTTTTTTACTTCTCATGCCTTGTTGTTCCATTAGACTGGATATTTTGTAGACCAAGATATTTTCCTGTGGGCAGTCCTGGAATTTTTCATACTGGGGATGAGGGTTTCAAACTTCTATTGAGAAAACACAGAAATTTGTAATTGAAACTTATTAAGACAAATTAAATATTTATATTCAAAAGTAAATCCTGCCATTACAATAATTTTGGTGTACTGTACTGGGCAAGTAGTAAAAAAGAAACAAACAAAAAAACCCACAGGTGTGATAAAGAAAGGGAGGGAGGGAGAGGGAGTTCCCCAAAATACCTCTCTAAGTAACTTATTCCTTATTCATGAGCTAACGAAAACAATAAAACACACACTCTCATTCCCCAATACAACACAGTTCAAGGATCAGATGTGCAATGGTAAACCTCTAACTTCGTGTGGACATGCTATTGTTCTTGCTCCCTCTTCTTCTTTCATCTTCTTTGGTCTCATTCTGCAAAACATATAAACCTTTCCTTACTCAGTAGGAGTTCAGTTGTGATTCTGCTTCAATAACTCATTTCAAATACAAATCCTTTTTTTTTTGTTTTGGGTGAAGTGAGATGTACTTTAACATGTTAATCGATAGTTTGTTGGAAAAACATAATCTTGTTCCCCAACTGACCACACAAGTAAAGAGCAGAAGACGACAAAACCACCATGATGAAATGTGAACAAACTGTCACAACTGATTCGCAGTAATACTTGAAAGGTCACCAGTCTCTTCTCGAAAGAAGCAAGAAAGGAAGGTCTGAAGATGCAACATGGAGGCTATCAGTAGCAAAAGTTAATCAGAGGTGTTAATTAGTGGGGGCATAGCTTAGTGGTAGAGCATTCGACTCCAGATCAAGAGGTCACTGGTTCAATCCCGCTTACTCCCTTTACTTTATTTTATACTAAAATTTTCTTAATCAACTGTTAGATGGACATCCAGTTTAGGATACATATTGAGACACCTCCCATTCACCTTATTTACTTCTAATGCCTTGTTCCATTAGACTGGACATTTTATAGACCAAGATATTTTTTTGTGGGCAGTCCTGGAATTTTTCTTACTGGGGACAAGGGTTCAAACTTTTATTCAGAAAACACAGAAATTTTGTAATTGAAACTTATTAAGACAAATTAAATTTTTATATTCAAAAGTAACATATGATCCTGCCATTACAATAATTTTGGTGTACTGTATTGGACAGGTAACAAAAAAACCCACACGTCTGATAAAGCAGAGAAGGAAGGGAGTCCCCAAAATATCTCTCTAAACAACTGATTCCTTTGCATGAGCTAATTTTCATATCTCCTCTTACTTGACATAAATACCCTGCTTCTAAACATTTCATAACCATAAACCTTGTATGTGGAGAATGCTCCCACACCACTTATCATTTCTTTCAGAGCTGTACCCAGACCAGTCAAAATGTTTTTAATGACGACTTTAATACTACGTTGAGATTAGACGTACATGTACAGGTATTACAGTGAAATAGATTAACTTTTTTACAACAACGTCTATGTACTAGACTTAAACAGTGAGCCAGTTAGAGAGCAAGGTTAAAAATCACCTTTTATAATACACTTTTGACTTTTGTTCCAGAAGAACTCTCAAATAAAACAAAGAAAAGGCTTTCCCTGTGATTAAAATACCTGCTTCACACTTTTCTTTTTAACAAAAGCTGGCTTGATTTTATAAACATCTTTTAAGGGTTGAGAAAAAGCAGTAACAGCTGATAAAATACAATATGGAACATTTCAGGTGAAAAGAAAAAGAGGATCATGTTACTGAAAGTAAATGCTGCATATCAATACAAAAGTCCATAGAGTCAAACGCAAGTGAAGGATGATTTTACAGCTCTGTGACTTTGAGATGACTGGGTAAAAAGCTACCACATTGATTTGCAAATTAACATTCAATAGCCAATCCTCTCTGATAATGTCCTCTTCGATCCATCTGCCAACCTATAGGGAGACCTCCCTAGAAGCAGAAACTTTCTTGATGGATAGAAGCCACATTTGTGCTAGACTCAAAGGGTAAGTATGGAAGACACGACTGTAAAATGTACATGGCTGTATCTAGAAATTCTATCAAAGTTGTACTGAACTCTTGACACAAGATTCCTCTGTGGAATCAAAAAGGTTTCATCCATGAAAATCTATGCACAAATTGCCAAAGTCCTTGAGAATAGCATTTTACTTTCCTCCTTTTGCATGTGTCAAGATATGCGACTTGAGATTTGTTGACTGGGCAAACCTCTTGTTACAAGAATCAAAAGGACAGACATATGGTCTGTCACCAGTGTGGATGCGAACATGTGTGCGAAGGTTGAAATCCAATGAGAATCTTTTACCACAGCCTTCAAATGTACACTGTTATGGAAAAAAAAAAAAATTACAATGTACAGGTACGTGATTTTTAAAACTTTACCCTAAGTTGTAACCTAGCTGGTAATCAAAATAGTGCATGATTGATTTTAATGTTCACATCTCAAAGACAATTACTTTAACAATTTAACAGACAAAAGAAAGCAATTGGTTTTTTCTAACAGCCACAGCTCTTGAACCTGGACTCCACAAATTACGGTTGTGTTAATATTCTCCCTTTATTTCTCAAGTCAAAAGTCAGCAACATAAATCATGGACATTATCAACAGACAGATACTCTTTTACGGTTTCCCAACTAAGAAACACATTATCATAAACAGATGGAATTAGCCTTGATCCTTTAGACCCTACAATCAGTATGCCTATTCTTCATGATGAATCTCTATGCATTTCCCAAGGTGCTGACAAGAAGTTCTTTAACAATCAAGAGCTTCTTTAGTTGCTGATCATTTCCTTTATTCTCATGACCTTAACATTTGACTTGGGGGTGATATTGTAGGGAGAAATATATATCTTATTAACCAAGCGCGAGGGCCGTACTGGGAGAATATCGACCCGAGATCTCGACAGTACGGACAGCGTGGTCCATACAAAAAAGACAGAGGGCCGACATTCTTCCACTATGGCCCCGAGCAAGCTTGGTTAATAAGAGATTTATTATACAACTGAAGTTCAAAGGGACACAAGTGCGGTATCATTCGGGACAGTGCCCGGTCCAATACTGAGAGAATATTGACCGGCAATAGAGCATTTTGATTGGTTGATTTTAGTTATTGGCCCTCTGACTGCCCGAGTCATGTAATAAGAAATGTTAGTCACCGTTAGGAGACAAAGAATCAAAAGACCAAGGTAAAACTAAAACAATAAACAACCATACCTGGAAAGGTTTTTCGCCAGTATGAACCAGTTGATGTCTCTTAAGTTTTGAACTTTCCACAAAAGCCTAAAACAAGAAATTTAATCGACTGAAATTGGCAATATCAGGTGTGATACCAAGGGTAAGTACTACAAATTTCATATCACCTTCAAAGAGAACAACTGTTCAATGATGAACTTGACATAATTTTTGAATAATAACTAAGGGAAGAATGAACACATCCTAAGAGATATCAAAACTCATAAACAAAAGCTAAAGGGTTATATCAGGAAAGATGGCCATAGGTTCCAAAAGCATTGTAAAGAAAGTTTCATACCTTGCCACATTCAGCGCAGACATGGACTCTTGGTCCATGTGTATGTAAGTGTTTTCGCATGGCAGAGTTATCTCGAAACATCTTTGTACAACCCTAAAACAACCCAAATACAAATTTAGTCAAAGATAGTTTGTGCACACCACCTGTAATGTCAGATCACAATTAAACACACACTATTGTTCCCCAATACAACACAGTTCAAGGATCAGATGTGCAATGGAAAACCGCTCACTTTGTGTGGACATGCTATTGTTCTTGCTCCCTCTTCTTCTTTCATCTTCTTTGGTCTCATTCTGCAAAACAAATAAACCTTTCCTTACTCAGTAATGGTTCAGGTGTGATTCTCCCTCAATAACTCCTTTCAAATACAAATATATTTTTTTTGTTTTAGGTAAATTGACGGATATACTTTAAGAAAAAAAGTGGCATGTTAACAAACAGTTTGTTGGAAAAACCTAATCCAGCCAAAACAAGGATAACAAAAGGCTGAATATCTGGCTTCTTTGAGATTTTTGCCACTATGAGCATAAAAAAAGTTGTAGCTTACAACAGCTTTCTGTTAATAGGCAGCAAACATTTCCCGTTACTCTACAAGGTCTGGCTAAGTACTCCAGGTGTCTTGGCAACATGCCAAGCAAAAGAAATCACAGGCAAGTCACAAGTGGCCCAACTGCACAGCTTGTCCCGGTGTTTGCAGCAGAAAGCTACAAGAAGAGAGACAGACTTCCCTAAAAGGGATACTAGCCTACTGCAGATTTCTCTCCCCCACCCGTCACTTTGCCGGTACCCATTTATATTCCTATGTGAGAAAAGACACGGAAAGAGTCAAGAGTCCTGCCACAGAACACAACACCATAACCCAACCAGGGATTAGCTCTTTCACTCCCAAAATCTCATTAGTATTTCTCCTTACTGTCTACCATACAATTATGATGTTGTTTTTGAGAATTTGGTATTGGATCAATTGATAATCCCTTGATTTTCTTTCTTTTTTTTTTTTTTTTATCCCATTCTCATTATTTGTCCACTTGACACTGTAAGGTGAATTTCTGTCTTGATCACACATGGAAGTTAAAAGGTTACCTCTGCATCTCTCACTAGAGTACATAATAATAAATTGATGAAAAATTGACATCACAGGCTGATTTCCAGTTAAATAAACCTCTTAAAAAGACTAAGAGAAAACTCTGCACAACACAGATAGCACTAAAAAACCATGGATAATGAGATCAGCATAAGCTAACTTCACAATTTTCCTGTCAATTCACATCCTTTACAAGGAACTGCATAAACCTAAATGCCTATTTTGCATGTCCCAAATCACTATGCACTGATGAAACATTATTGTTGGCCAGTAATATCAACAACTTTCTTTAAGGCTACGACAGAGGTCATGTACAAAACTCAGTGAGAAATGCATATTTCAACAATTCTAATAAATGAATCTCTCAGCTGTTGTTCTTACCTTCCTCTTGTGTCAAAAATTACAGAAACCTGGCTTAAATTTGCCAGATTTGGTGACATTTACTACAATAGAACGCTAAACCTTGAATTGAACAGTACAAAATAAAGATAAATAGACCTTGGCCTAGGCAGGAAATACACCGATTCATTTTGTATTATTTACAACTTTTTATAAGATATCCAAGAAGAAGATGTACAGCAGAAATATACACAGAGTTAACCAATAAATATCACACTGCTACGACTGGATCTCATTTTGTAATCGTTTTCCACTATCCTTTCAAGGGCTTACTCGTGTTTTCTGTATTCTGCACAAAAAAAATGCCCAAAGACTCCAAAAGCTCGTAGAAAGGTAAAAATAATGAAACGAGAAAGTAAACAATTCGAAAGGGCCAAGTCACAAATATTTCACCACAGTGAAAGGAGAAAAAATTAAAACTTGTTCAAACAACCCATGCTGAATGGTTATTTCATTGCGGATGAAATATCTCTTGTTTATCGGGAAAAAAAGCCAAAATTCTGTTTATGCCCCATACCGGAGAACTTTAAAATTGCGAGTAAAAATATCCATAACTGTGTTTTGTACCATGCAACACACGAATGAGAATCCTTCAGAGAGGATAATATGGAAATAGTGCAGATTACCACTTTTGCATCGAACGAACGGCGGCCATGATGGACTCCGCCATTTTGGTTGTAACAAAGACTGCTGTTTGTCATGGGATTTCAAAATGGCTGCCAAACTGGACGAAAAGTCATCTTACCTTGCAAACTCTGCTAACTGTTTCGGATCACTTAAATCAATCCCAGGAAGACCACCAGGAGGTATCTTTTTTCCAGTCATGTACTCGGTGAAGTCGGGAGCTTGACTCAACTCTTCTTGCTGAGCTTTTTTCTCCTCTGTAGCATCACCATAGCCCGTACAAGACAAGAAACACAAATGAAAACATGAGATTTTCCTGCCTCGCAGGAATGCTTAACTCTTAAAACCAACTTAATCTGAAAAAGAAGGGCGCCCATTTTACAGAAACGTACCCGACGCCCACATTGTCACGGCAAATTCGCCTTCGAGAGTCTTTATTTGAACTTGCTTTTGTTCCCATTTGCGCGTACCTGAGCGTTCAGTATCTCCAATACCACCCCCTCTCTCACTGTTCGAGGCGTTTGACGCACTCGATGTAGTAGAGTTTACATGACCCTTTCCCGATCTTCCCAGACCTTTAGTCCTGCTTCCTCTGCTTTTTCTCTGTTTGCCTGAAGGAGTCGTGGAGATAGACACTTCTTCAACTATGGCGTGTTTTGACTCCTCGATAACTTCTTCCGTCGTTTGAACAACGATTTCTTCGTTCTCAGGCTCTGTCAGAGGCTGAAGGGCTATCATAGGCTGCGTCTCGATTTGAACTTCTTGTTGAGGTTCCACCATAGTTTCCACCTCAACTTCGACTTCGGCCACACCAGTGGTTAAGTCGGCCATGTTGGCGCCTGAAGCTCCCTTCGCTGGGGGTACTCACTGTCAACTGAAGTATTCAACCTCATTTCGAAGTCAGACAGACCACGTGGGTACTGTACTTGCCGAGCCAATCAGCATTTGGAACAGCTGGTCGCTTTAGCCAATCACATCAGGTCATACTACCCTAAGACGCGGGAAACAGATGTTTTGGCTGCAGCATTCTGTTTTTATTCCTCCCAATAAATAAAAAGAAAAAAAAAAAAGAAAAAAGAATGAAAGAATGAAAGAACAACGAAAATTAAAATGAAGATAACAAACTGAAATGATAAGTCTTATGAAAAATAATTAATTCACCTGAACGGAGTTGAGAGACTTCCGCGAACATATTTTGTTTATGACACAAGAATTGATTTTACACATTTACTGTCAACATCAACTTTTGCTTTCCTTTGCATTTATATGTTTAAGTGTGTAAGATATACGTATGCTTTCGCATAGAAAAAACAAATAGTTGAAAATGAAATGAAAATGTTGCACCTTTAAGTACTCTATTCGCTCCGACGAAGGGCTAACGCTCGAAACGTCAGCTTTTGTAACCGTTACGGTGGCCAATTTACCATTTCAACTTTGTTGATATATCCAAATTATTCCTTTTAGTACACCCCTGCTTTGATCCCTTCCCCCCCCCCCCAAAATCAGGTGGCATTAGGGTAGAGATCTTATTGTGTTTATAAGCTTATATTCATACGCTAATATATTTACACAAGTAATGTCCATTGTTACAACTTTAAGGGTGTGTTGATCACGTTCAGACGTCTGTAGCAACGAATATGTTTTCAGCAGACAGGTCAACTCAGTTCTCAGTGGAGATAAGATTTTTGGTATAAATGAAACTACTGCTCGTCGCGCAACAATGAAAGGCAAAGTATGGGCGATGTTTGAAAGAAAAGCAGAATAATCGGTGGCTAAAATGTTCCTAAACTGATAAGCTATGTTGTGTCTGGAAGCAACGTAATTAAAATAAAATAAAAGATCAAACAATTTTACGATAATGTTAGCCCTTCCCCTCTTAGGAGAGACCAAAAAAATTACAGTACAATTTCACTACGTTTTCATACACGAAGAAAGCGAGAAGAAGGGAAAAAAAAATTAAATAAGCGGAGGTAATGTTTTCATTTGACACCAAATTCTTAAAGGTAAAGTTAAGTTATGGGGTTGTCTGGCATACAGTGCCTGAAAACTGATTTTAAAATCTTTGGAGTGGAGGATTAGGTAAGATCAATTCACGGTTTCATTCTCTTAAAATGGTCGGAAACGATAAATCGTCCTTTATCGAAGTGGTGAGATCCATGATTGTGTGCGGAGCGTAGAACTTGAAAATCAAAAAGCTAACGCTCGTGTGCAACACATGGTTTCATTTTCTGCATATATCTCTAGTAATTTACACTCATTCTGCATTGAATTTAGTTCTCTCGCTACCTGGTTGGGTACATCGATGCACGTGTTTTAGATAGGATTTGGAAAAGACACAAACAGGTCGAACATTTCTAACAAAAAAGACTAACATCCTTTCGATGCGTGATCTACTGTTAACCCAGGGAAAGTATGTGAAAATCGTATAATTAGGTTACGGAGTAAAGATCTCAAGGACGATAAAGGAAAGGAGAGAGATCATTACAGTTACACTCACAGTGTAGCGCATGAACCAAGCGAGGTTATTCAGTACACATTAATTTTACGGCTGAAATTCTTTGCTTAGTCCATAATCTAAATTCCCAGAAGAACGAGTTTTTAGTGTAGCCAAGTGGCCCATCCAGCCAGAGTGTATGGCAGTTTCCATGGCAGTAAGTAGGAGTATTGCTACTCCCCAGGCCCCTGGATGGGATGCTGGTCAACGACTCGGCAAGGTGGGGTCTATTTCTTGAAGGTTTCGGTAACTTATTGGGCCCGCAAAACTGTTCTGTTTTCATTCAAAATTAGTGTTTCAAAAGTTTTGGAAACTGTACAATAAACCACTAGATAAAAACAACAAAACGGACTTGTCAGACTCTACCTTTCTATTCGTTAAATTTTGATTTCAAATATGGCTTCGGGCCCCTTTAAGTAAGCTACTGGGCCTCCGAACTAGACCTCTCGCCTCGGCCATTAGGGCACCAAATCTCCTAAACTGCTGGTGCTGTATTCATTCGTGTGTTGCATTTTTGCGGGACAAAACAGCAGGTGGATTACCGACTTCGCGTATTCTCAGGCGTATACTGTAGGCAACGTTGCCATTGCTATCAAAACATAACATTTTTTGTTCGGCTATATAAGCCCTGATTTTCAACAGATTGAGCTCCCTCACGATCCACTATGAATATGGATTAGGCTTAGCACGAAAGTTACCGCCCACCAGCTATAATGACGGTCCGATTGACGAATAGGCGACCACGGTCCAGGGCAGATGCCCGGGGGGGTACTCCCTTATAAGGGCTTAATGAGGACGTGCGGCCAGCCAGGGTATGTTTTTCGAGATTTTTGTCTTAAACAGGGTATCGAATTTATCATTTTTTGTCTTAATCAGGGTATCGATTTATCAATTTTTGTCTTAAACAGGATATCTTCTCTTGGAAGATAAACAGCAAAATTTTTACAAGCTCTAATTTTAATTAATATTGAATTCCGTTGATTTTGGCATTAATACCAGGCACATTAAATGTCTTAAACAGGGTATCAAAAATCGGAATTCTGTCTTAGACAGGGTAGGAAAATCAGCGATATTTGTCTTAAACAGGGTCAGGGTGTGAGGGGCCATGCCGCATCTCCCCACCCAGGAATATATCGAGTGCCCCCCCGGGGGCAGATGGAGTTTCATGGTGTTCGTGGGCTGCTTTTTCCCGGGCTTCACTGCATGGACACATTGTATTTTCTTTTATTTCAACTTCCAGTAAATCAAAGACCTTACATGAAATTATAAGATTCTTAAACTATTTCTAACTCAAAATATAATAGAAAGTTTACAGATTTGATAAAGTTTAATATACAGTCCTTCAGCCCATGTCAAAATTTTACGTGCCATGTGAAAAAAAAAAAACATTAAGCTCCCAATAAAAAATCTCAACCGCTACAATTATAATGAAAAAATATACTCCTCCAATTGTAGCATTCACAGTTGTTATCTACTAAACTGATATCCAAGGAAATAGATAAACCTTTCTTGACAAAAATCTAGCAAAATGTTCTAAATTTGCTTCAGAAATTAAAAAAAAAAAAAAAAAAAAATTAAAATCACAGAAGCTTTTGAGCATTGCATTCATATGATTGCAAAAACTTTTAAAACATCACTTGTGCCTGGAAATCACATAATGCCCTATTCAAGTGACTTCCTACACTTACCATATAATTTAATAAATAGATGAATAAATAAATAAACATTAACTTTTCAAAAGAAAGAAAAACTAAATTTCGATAAATACCCTAGCAAGAAAAATATAAATGGCTCATCTCACATTCTTCAAAATCTTCTAGTTACATCAGTAATCTATTCCCACGGATATCAACATTATATCTTATTAACCAAGTGCGAGGGCCGTACTGGGAGAATATCGGCCCGAAGTCTTGACAGTACGGACTGAGTACCGTGAAGTCTGTACAAAAAAGACCGAGGGCTGATATTCTTCCAGTACGGTCCCGAGCAAGCTTGGTTAATAAGAGATTTATTACACGACTGAAGTTCAAAGGGACACAAGTGCGGTAACATTCGGGACAATGCCCGGTCCAATACTGAGAGAATATTGACCGGCAATAGAGCATTTTGATTGGTTGATTTTAGTTATTGGCCCTCTGACTGCCCGAGTCGTGTAATAAGGAAAAATAATTGCACTTTCTAATGGATGAAGAATAAGTTTACACCAAACAACAATTTGTACAAAAGTGAGCCAGCTCCATAATAAAGTGTTCATTCCCTTAACAATAAAAAACAACAATATATTAGTTGAATATTTTACCCCTTTACCTTACCATAAAAAATTTATGCACATTAAATATAACATGCTGTGTATGCCAAGTGACTCAGCATACAATATGCATTTGGGCTTTAGCCACAAATGACTGGATACGTTATGAAATTACATTTAATAGTAAATTAAAAATACCCTTCATAAAATGTGCTACTATTTTAATATAATATTCATTCCTAAGTTTGCAAAACCTTTATGTCATAAACCTCCATGCAGGTATCACCATATGCAATTCTTTATCAGCTGTGTTGTATATGGTCACTCCCAATGAACTGATCAAATATTACAGCATTGTCTCCAAGATTAATAACCATTACTCACATACATCATTTAATGAGCTACCAACAATAACTGTTATATAAATATGTTAACTCATCCTAGCAGCTCTGAAAGCTACGGAGATATAAATGTAAAATCACTTTTCTCTTTTTTTTTGAAGTCTGCAAGACCAATATTTTATACCTAAAGTTTACAAAAGCTTATACGTAAAAGTAGAAAAAGAGAAAAACCAGGTGTGCATTTTTTGCAATCTGACTTATCCTTCGCCATTTTGGTTCCTTTTTGGCTTCAACTGATTTAACTTTTATGTGCATTCCTTCGCAAACAGCCCTTCCATGAATTTTCTTTGCCTAAAAATTGTACAAAATATGCTTGCAAAGCCCCTTAATATAATGCTGATAATAAGCAATTCAACTTAAACTTGATTTCATACAGCCTACCAACAATCCTAAAATCTAGATATATCAACAAAGTTGAAATGGTAAATTGGCCACCATAACAATTACAAAAGCCGACGTTTCGAGCGTTAGCCCTCTCGCTCCGACGAAGGGCTAACGCTCGAAACGTCAGCTTTTGTAATCGTTACGGTGGCCAATTTACCATTTCAACTTTGTTGATATATCCAAATTATTTCATTACCCCCACCGACACAGCCCCAAACAGTTTCTTTAGAAACTATCAGCCCTTAATCCTAAAATCTGTTTCCTAATATGTAACCAGAATTCATGCGCAATTTTACTAAGCAAATTCAGCCTGTTTCTTGCGGTCTCTGGCAAGTCTCAAGGTTACCGTAACAGTTGCTAAAGTGGCTGCATTGGTGGGGAATGCTCTTAGAATTGTAGCTGATAATCCTTGAGAGAAGGCATGGAGCCCGCCACTCTTGTAGGTTTTTTTAACACAGTCCAATATGCTCTGATATCTGCGGTTCTTTCCTTCACCATCTGCCTGAAACCTTGATTTCACAACATCTATTGGATAAGTGAAGAACCAAGATGATATGCCACTTAATCCTCCTGCAAGTAGCAATCCTAGAGGTCCAATACAACCAGCTCCATCTCCCTCAGGTGTCATTGCATTGCAAAAAATTTCAAATGTTCCAAAGTATAGAGCAAAGCTGGGAATTTCTCTAGTGAGTGTTATAGTCATCCCCTTGTACAATCCTGTGACACCGTTTTTCTCATAAACCTTCTTTAAGCAGTCAATTGATCCATGGTACAATGGCTTAGAGGTGCTTTGAACCTGCACAAGAGTTTTTGCTAATTCCATTGGGCAGCAAACAATTGACTGAACTGCACCAGCCACACCTCCTGCAATACACTGACTGGATAAACCTGGCTCAAGCAAGCGTGACAAATTTCCTTGGACCCCAAATATGATAGCATTTATCAGTCCTACCCCAGCCATTGGGGACAACATACCTTTGTACAAACCAAACACCTGCATCAAGAGGCAAACAAACAAATCTTAGTAAGAATTACCACATCAAATAGATCATAACCTGACCCAGAAGAAACACTATCCTTAATAAAAACCCCCAGATGAAGGGGGCTGTCCATAACCTTTAATGTTCCAACCAAGTCGCAGATAATGGGTGGCCAGGTTAACATGGAGACCAAGTAGTTTCATCAGAATACACTTAAACTCGAAGGTGCGCTATATAAGGAAGTCTTCCCTGGGAAGACCTGGGCTCATTTGTCCCTCACTGTTGATGTGTGCGGGTCAAATTTAAATGCTGGTAGATGAACAAAAGGAGCTAATGAGATATCTATTGTTTACTTCCACCAGCATGGTGGCATGAGGTAATGTGCGAACCAACTACTTCGATTTCAAATTTACCGCCACAAATAAAGACAGTTTCCATTGGAGAAAGGAAAAACAAATCTCAAAAATTCTTGTATTGTGACGAAGAGATAAAACAATTTTGAGGAATGCGCCCGCTGTTCACTGTTTTGGAGTAGCTGCAGCTTAAGCTGACTTGACTCTAAGAGTTCTAACATCACACGACAGTTGATTGACAAATGGTCCAGTGGGACCTAAGGCTCCTTTTATAGCGCACCTTCGTGTTTAAGACTCTGAACTGTTAATTCAACTAAAATATCCTTGGCATTGATCTGTAGAGTTTGTATAAACCTTCCAGCCAATTCTGAAAAGAGGGTGTGGCAAATGGCTGATATGTGACACATGCAGATAGTGAGTGGCCAGTCCATTCCTGAGTCCATTCCATTCACTCCGACAAAGGGCTAACGCTCGAAACGTCAGCTTTTGTAATCGTTACAGTGGCCAATCTACTACTTCAACTTTGTTGATATATCCAAATTATTCCTAAGTTACACTCACTTAGTGTGTAAATATCTAAATTAGGAAATACACATTGAAAAAAGAACTGTTCATTTAAATTTCGTGTTTTGACTGGTCAGTTGCAAACTGACACATGCAAACATTTGTTAAAAGTGTGGCCTGTTTTCTCCCCAATATCCAAATAACGCCCCATCAGCAAGTTCTCAGCAAACCTTTAAGTTGGAATTGGTGGCCTTTTAATTTTATTTCATTGCATTGCACATGACCCTCAAATGAAGAACAAGAGCATAGAGTAACACCATCATCCGTGATGCTTGAGGAATTTTGGGTTGATCTGGTCAACCAATGCGAATTTTTATCGTTTTGCTTCTAGTGGATTTGTTTGGTTGGCTTTACTCAAGAGACCTACCTTAGGAAAGCAGATGAATGAAAATTGAGCTAAATGGCCTTGAATCAGTCCCAGAAATTCACACAATGCAAAGGAACCACTTAAGCAAGGTAAGTTTGTCTATGTTCAAAACTAGTTCAGATGTTTTTCGCTGTTAAAAGTACGACTGTTTGTTCCCATGCACCCGCCCATTGTGCAGTGTGAATATATTTGTATATCTACAGTCTCACTGGGTGAGCTTGGGTTACCCGTGGTTTGAGGTCAAGAAAGATAAAAAAAATATTTGTCTTCTAACATAATCTTTTTTTAAAACCCAAAAACGAAATTTTTAGTTTTTACTTTCATTCATGAATTTTTTTTTTCAATTTTAAAAAAATACAGGTTCCACAGGTTGCGCTGGTTCCGCTGGTTCTTCTAGTTCCACGGTCTACTAATCGTCACTCTAGTAACACTCTTAATACACGCTCAACAAGTAGACCAATACAAGCTCACATGGCTGGTTAATAACAACGAGGTCTGACCCAAACCGCGGTTTTGGCAAGAAGTGGGCCGCAATATTCCTTATAAGAGCGTTGATTCGATTAAATAAATGTCCTCCCACGATTAGCTTTCGCCACTCTTCACACTGTTCACAAAAATAAATGTTGAGATAAAAGGTTGGGCTAAATTGAAGATTATTGTTATACAAAGGCTAAACTTTGTTTAAACAAACCGGCCCATAGGGTCTACCCCCACGAACTAACTTGAAAGTTATTAAAGCGCCCGGCATGTCATCATTCTCGAACTATCAAAGATTTACTACTGACCGTTTCATGTTTTACAATCTGCGTAAAACAGTTGATGGTCCCGGCGTATCGTTTCGATACTTGCGTTTGAAGTCGAACCTAGAAAAACATGAACAATAAAGCAATCTGAAGATCAGAAACTTCGATCGATAGATGCGTGACTCTGTGTTTATTGGGGTGGTTAAACAAAGGGAACGCTGTAATGTGTCTAGATTGCGGCGTTTTCTCACCTTGACCGTGTCGAAAGGATGTCCCACAACTATACCGGCCCATCCTGAAGGAGAGAAACAACATATTAGAAATTGAAACCATTAGGAAATGTTTACTACCTCCTACGGGGACAGCGAGGAAACATGACGGCAAGTTAGTAAAAGATGACCTCACCTCCCAGACATCCCGCCACGAAATCCAAGGCCATTACAAGCCGTGCTAACCACAGCTTTAGCTTGTACTTATAATTTAGACAGATTATAACGATCGCGGTTCTAAAAGCCTACCAAACACTAGCATCGCCTTAATACGTTCGCATCCGGAAGGCCGACTCAGTTTCGAGTTTACAAACTCACATGGCGGAAATACATAGTTTATAATTTTATGTTGTCATATGATCAGAGAGGGAGGAAGGCGAAAAATCTCCCTAGAGAACCAATCAAAAGCGATGAATGTCTCTTCTCGCCAGTCAGCCACGGTTACTACAGTGATGCGGGGCATGGGGTAGAGAAACAAGACCCAACGGTATTTCCGATTCTACACACCGGGAGTTTTCAAGAAATGTAGGGGTATTTTGCAAATTCGACCCAACCTGCAGTTGGATGTTTCCTTTTGTTCAGCGGAGAGATTATCAAGGGAGAGAGAGATCACGGGTTTTTATTCAATCTACTGATCCATCCCCTCTCCACAGACACACACCCACACGCACACAGCCCTTGACTCTTATACCACCCCTACATCACCCACCAAGGTCTCAAGAATGAAGGAAATGATCATAAAATTCAGAAGCACATGCTTGTCAGCGCCTAGAACAGTATGAAGAATATGCATACTGATGTTAGAGTCAAGGTCAAATCAGCGGACCCTACTAACACTTGACAACCTGTGTCAACCTAGAGAAAATTACTATATCAAGAACGGCCATGAGAAACCAACATTAAGTTAGACCGCGAAATGAATGAGGCACTTTCTTTAGTTGAGTAGAACCAAACCTGCATCAAGTTCGGCTCTGGGACAGATCCAAGATTTAGTCAAGGGGGGTTCGCAGAATTGTTCCCCTTCTGAGGGGTCCAAGATTTTGAAAATTAGGTCTTCGGAAACATGATTTCCAGCGTTCTGAGGGAAAATTTAGGGGGTTCGACCGAACCACCCCTGGATCCGCCCCAGCGGCTTATGAAAAGTTTTACGTCTCGGGATTGGGCGGGCCTAACAAAGTAACTCACAAATTCAAGCCGCCTTTACGACGAGTTGACAATGTAAATTGGCCACCGTAAAACGTTTCTACAGCTTAAGTTTCGAGCGTTAACCCTTCGTGAGAGAAAGAGTAGAGGAATTATATATTTCGTGACTGCGGAGAAAGTTCATTAGAGCAAATTTGTTTTACCCGTTTGATCTGTGCTAATCGTGAGTCGTGACTTGTTTGGACACGCACGAGTGGTTCAAGTGTTCGCAACATCATTTGGGCACGGCCAAACAGATCATGACTCACGAGAACATTACACGCACGCACAATGGACAGTTCAAAACAAGTGTTTTGAAGAACACAAGAACAAGAACATGTAGTTCAAAACAAGAGTTTTGAAGGACACAAGAACAAGAACGTGTGGTGCTTTTGAATCTACTTGCCTTTTTTCTGATTTCGTGACTTTACAGTCACTACCACCCGACGAATATAATAACCCTTTGTGGCATTGGTTGATTGAACAAATGTTCACAACTGTTGTTTATCGTTCTTCTTCACGAACGGTTCATTAGCACAAAACGGACGAGTTCTACGAATTCGCTCTATTGTATATGATTCGTATCAACCCTTAAACTCACAAGATCTGATCATGAATTCTCCCCCCTAGCCACTACACATTTCCTTGTAAATTGGTTACGAGAATTTGGTGTTCAATCAAGGTAACAACTTCTACCTGACAAGTTTGAGTATTCTCATTACCTGTTAACAGGATCATGTATGGATATTGTAGGGAGACGTTACAGGTTAATCACTTCTGGGAGTTAAAGGGCTAACTGTAGGGGCCACTAGGCTGTTTAAGATGTTGTATGTTATGCAAGAGCCACTCGAAAGCATCTCTTTTAAATTTCCTTTATTGTCTATACACTGTTGTATTTTCTTTAAGGTGATATAACGCTCGCTGTATTCTGCATCAATAAACGAGATGCCCGCTCTTGATGTTTTGTTTGTGTTTATTAAGATTAGTCACAAACGATTTATGATTATTTCAGGGTAATTAGAGTATAAGTGGGCAATTTGGTGTGTGTACAGAAAGATGGAGCTACGCTTAACTTTTACCTCAGACGACTGGTGAGGGCAACTTATGGAACGCACCTAAGGAATCTATTTGACAAATTCAAGCGACCTCTACCTTGGCATGTAGGCCTTTTCAAGTACACTGGTAAAGAAAAACACGGCAAATATTTCTGCGAAAAATGTCCTTGTTCGAAAAAAGTTATGTCAGTTTTAAGACGAGGCGACTTTGGAAAAAGTCAAATCAAATTCTTTTCTCTAAAATTTAAAAGGGAAAAACATCCAAAGGGAAACTTGCTGGCATAAAAGTGGCTTCACACCTGAGAAGTTTTCGAGTAATCTTTATCAATCTTAAGTAACTTTTAATACACTATTGAGCATTATATCATATTAAATTATTGGTTATCTCAAAGTCTGACCCTTCGTCTTCTTATCGGTGCTTTTAGACCAGTTGTCAAGACAAGTTGTCAAGACCAGTTGTCAAGACCAGTTGTCAAGACCAGTTGTCAAGACCAGTTGTCAAGTGGGTGACAATGTCTTCATTTTTGCGTACAAAGCCTGATCCTATTTAGAGAAAAGCAAAATCAAGTATAGCTAAAGCAGCAATCAATAATAAGAAGGGTGAAAACCTAATTTCGTCGACTTACAGAAAATTAGCATTTGTCGCCGAACACACAGGTGGGAAACGCGTTAATAGTAACGTAAGCCTCCGGGTAGAAAAGGTAGCCAATGAGAGAGGGGAAGGGGGCCTCTAGCCAAGGGGAAATGTGGGACGATACGTTGTCAAAAGCGACAGGCGCAGGGAAAGATCTTTCCAAAATTCTTATGCGAAAGAGAGCAATTTTAAAATCACGGATACGTTTTCTGCATGACCAGCAAACTAACACCCTTATCTGATTTTGAACCGTCACCGAGACAAGAGATCTTAATTATCTTCCTTTTCCACTTGAATCAAGACATTTCTACCAACCAGTACGATTTTGAGCTCACTATCAATGTTAAAACATCATTCTCTAAATTGAACGTCATTCCGTGGGAACAGCAACTAAGATGGCTGGGTTTTCTGCAGTAATCTTGCAATGTTTCACTCCTTACCTTCTTGCTCACTGAAGGCTTCACTTTCTGAAAGGCCGCCAAAAAATGCTCCTTACCCACCCCTACAGGGCTTTGTTCCGGGGAAGATTGATCCTCAATAGACTCGTGACTGGTGGAGTGCACGTGGATTCGTTCTCGTAGAGCCACCATACAAGCTTCGCGCACCAATGCTGCTAGATCAGCTCCCCTGTAAAGAAGAGTATTCTTAGTAGAGGATTATTAAGATTTATTTGTAAGACTGAATACACTGAATTCTGTTCCAATTCGCAAGGAGAAGTTAATCTCTTCAGAGAGTTAAAGAATTAATGCTAAAGAACCCGTGAAACGGTTTGGTAAGTAATGAGCAACTTAACCAACAGGGCAGCCTCCTAACGAGAACTCCGCGAGAGCGAGAGGATAGACACGAAGAGAGTTTCTACGCGTGACTTCTCCCACACGCTTTTCGGTTCCCCTAGACGAACTACTGATCCATGTCGTGTTACTCCATTTCCACAACTGAGTGCTCCTAACAATTCACCGGCGCTCATTTCAATTCGTTCTCGGGATACAGGCACGGTTAACCTGGGGGCAGGTCCTCATAATTAGTGCTGTAGAACGCGCAGTTTCACTGTACTTACGAAAGGCCTTCACATCTTTCATCCTGTGCAAGATCTCGGATACTAACATCGGGAAGAAGCAATGGTTTCTTGCCATCCTAAACATTCATAAACGAATACATACAATTCATGTCAGAGCATTTTCCGATTCGCTCACGCAAAACCAACCTAATCACAGCAGCCAATCAAAACAGACGTAACCAAGAATGAATGAGTCACTATTACTTTCAGTTTGGAATCTGATTGGTCGAGATAAATGAGCACGAGTTTGTGAAACAAATCCCAGAAAACAGAGCTGAAACAGCTGCGCAAGGCAGGAGCTTTGCGGGCTCACGCTTGAAACCATAAGAACACGAGACTAAAATGGCAGAATTTTTCTCATCCCAGAGCGAAGTAAAACACTTGTTAAATTTTTCTCGATAAGCGTAACCGACCCTTTTTCTTTCTGAAGTCAGAGCGGACAAATGTTTTCCTCGAGAGAATTTGCTGGGGTCAAATTGCTGGGGTCGAATTTGCTGGGGTCAAATTGGCTTCATAGATGTGTGACGCGATACACCTACTTTGGTGAGTGTTGTGAGTATGTCTTCTCTATCGTCTGTGTTCGGTAGACCAACATATAGAACTTTATCGGACAAATGTTTTCCTCGAGAGAATTTGCTGGGGTCAAATTGCTGGGGTCGAATTTGCTGGGGTCAAATTGGCTTCATAGATGTGTGACGCGATACACCTACTTTNAACAGAGCTGAAACAGCTGCGCAAGGCAGGAGCTTTGCGGGCTCACGCTTGAAACCATAAGAACACGAGACTAAAATGGCAGAATTTTTCTCATCCCAGAGCGAAGTAAAACACTTGTTAAATTTTTCTCGATAAGCGTAACCGACCCTTTTTCTTTCTGAAGTCAGAGCGGACAAATGTTTTCCTCGAGAGAATTTGCTGGGGTCAAATTGCTGGGGTCGAATTTGCTGGGGTCAAATTGCTGGGGTCGAATTTGCTGGGGTCAAATTGGCTTCATAGATGTGTGACGCGATACACCTACTTTAGTGAGTGTTCTGAGTATGTCTTCTCTATCGTCTATGTTCGGTAGACCAACATATAGAACTTTATCGAGTCGTCCCGGTCTCAACACAGCAGGATCGATGATATCTATCAAAAAACAACGACAGATAAGAAATTACTGAACACGTGTCAGTTCCTTCTACTATGCTTCTCGATTGAATGTCACAAAAACAAAACTACAGCACCAACAACGACCAATCAGTATAAAGAACCAAAGGAAATAAACCAACGAGAACTCAAAGAGAATTCACGTGACCGGCCAAAAAAAAAAAAAAAAAACGAGAAAACGCAAGTGATTAAACCGAGATAGGCTTCACTTTTGGATCTGATTGGTTGAAAAGGGGACACGAGTTTTCTTACCCAGTCACAGGGCGCAGAGAAATAGACCAATGCAATAAAGGATTGCTTACGACACTTCATATTTCAAGGTTTCCAAAGATCACTAGACAACTAACAGACTTGCTTCACCTGGTCGGTTTGTAGCCCCCATGATAAATACTTGTTTCCTGGCCTCCAGACCATCCATCTCAGTCAGCAGCTGATTGACGACCCGTACGTTTACACTCGACTGGAAAACGTAAAGAGAAAGTGTTAAGACCCGGCCAAACGCACGCATCATTTCAACGCAACATCTTACAACAGTGTTGCACGCAACGTGTTGCATACCTTCGGCCACCCTTGGCCACCTTTGTTTTTTTTGTTTTGTTTTTTTTTTTTTGGGGGGGGGGGGGGGGGGGGGGGGAATTGACTACACCCTACATCTTCCTGAATTCCACACATTCCGTAATAGTTAACTCCGAAATTTTTTTTTTCACGAACTAAAAGAAGTAGGAAGTAAGTGACGAAAAAATGAAATCGCTAACTTGAATACATCTTTGAAAATAAACCTCGTTCAAATTTGGCCCATTTAGCTTCCAGAAATACCTACTGATTAGAGGTGAAAAACAAAGAATGAGTCACTTTGGGGTTTTGGTATTGAGAGTAACCTGACATGGACTGTAATTCCGACCAAAAGAGGGGGACAGCAATACAATAGCAATACTCAGAACGCTAAGGAAACCACCGTATGGGAGGGGCGATGAGACTCATGGCTCATAAGCTGACTTTCCGTTACGTTTTACTTATTTTATTTTTCATTTTTTTGTATTAAGATCAAAATCGTTACGTTACCTCTGCACTGTCGGATCTCCTGGGGCAAAGTGCATCGAGTTCGTCGAAGAAGATTACGCATGGTGAAGAATTCCTAGCTCTTTGGAACACTTGTCTAACCGCTCGCTCACTTTCACCAACATACTAAGATGTTATACAAAACAACAAACAAGAAATAAAGTATACTACAAGCAATCTTTCCTTTTTGGCGAAGTCCGTTACGCGAGTAAAAAAAATCAGTGATAAAAAAAATTGATTTTAGCGCGCCGCACGGGACTCTAGGAACGAGGCGCAAGAAAATTACTACTTTTCGTCCCTGTCATTCCCAGAGTTCAGCGCGGCACACTAACATTAATTTATTTTTCCTGATATTTTTTTTGATTCGCGCAACGGACTCGTTGAGGGACTGTTCAAAATCTAGAAATGAAGTAATTTTGGAGTCTTCTATACTTAAGAACGACCAGTTCAAAACTGATAAAAGTATTAGTGAATTTCAAGGGCGAAATATGAACAAAATATAACCTGACTGTAAATATATGCAAATCAAAGATGTGAACTGCGGATTGACAAGTCCCGTACAGGCCTGAATTTTTTTCATGACTTATTTTCACTACTGCTTAAGTAGTGTTTATCAGTTACTGCGAAGATCGCTCTCATATTCAAAATATAAACTGTTACTGTGAACACTCAAAGAAGCGGTACAACTACGAACAGACTTCGAAGTTCAAAAATATTCTTACGACGCGAGGAAAAATAAACAAATGAACGCACTCAGCGAACATCACTACAAAAATACGAAAGTGCTGAAGAGAATATTGTCATTCTTCTGTGAACCAACGATTTTACACTGTCGGTATCCGTGTGTAAGAGTAAATGACTGCTTTCTGTTGGCATTGATCGGTACCCAACACAACATTGAAACGTCACGCGGGCTTTACAAATGCCATCGAACAAAATTTGTCGTTCGATAGTCTCAACATACCATGTTAAGAAGTTCTGGTCCTTTGACAGAGATAAAATTGATGCCAGATTCATTTGCTATGGCCTGAAAGACAGGGAAAATACGGACTTTCACCGAAATTAACACAAACGATTACATGTTTGGAAGGCTTTTACATGTAAAATCATTCTGCACAACTGATTTTATTATACATAAACCTTACTATAAAAATCTGATTGCACGTGTGAAGTTGACATGTTCAAAGTCCGCCTAGTTTCCGAGCCCCTTGACCGTATAGTGTTATCAAACTTTCCAAACTCAGAGAAGTGTCTTCTTTGCGGATTGTTTAAAAAATGTATAATAAAACAATTATTGAATTCGGTTTTCGCTACCCGTATTTGTCTGTGTCTGTCTGTCCATCTGCTGTCTTTCTGTGTCTGTCTGTCTGTCTATCTGCTGCCTATCTGCTGTTTGTCTGTCTGTCTGTCTGTGTCTGTCTATCTGCTGCCTATCTGCTGTCTGTCTGTGTCTGTCAATCTGCTGTCTGTGCCTGCCCGTCTGTGTCGTCTGTTTGTCTGTCTCTGTCTATCTTTGTCTGTCTGTGTCTGTCTGTTTCTGTCTGTCTGTGTCTATCTGTCTGTGTCTGTCTGTTTGTGCCTGTCTGTCTGTGTCTGTCTATCTGCTGTGTGTCTGTCTGTCTGTCTATCTTCTGTCTGTCTGCGCCTGCCCGTCTGTGTTGTCTGTTTGTCTGTCTCTGTCCGTCTGTGTGTGTCTGTCTGTGTCTGTCTATCTGTGTCTGTCTGTCTGTGTCTGTCTGTCTGTGTCTGTCTGTCTGTGTCTGTCTATCTGTGTCTGTCTGTCTGTGTCTGTCTATCTGTGTCTGTCTATCTGTGTCTGTCTGTCTGTGTCTGTCTGTGTCTGTCTGTCTGTGTCTGTCTGTCTGTATGTGTCTATCTGTCTGTCTGTCTGTGTCTGTCTGTCTGTCTGTGTCTGTCTGTCTGTCTGTGTCTGTCTGTCTTTGTGTATTTCTGTTTCAGTCAGTGTCGGTCATTCTGTCTCCTTTCCCAGACAAACAAAGGGATGGGGTGGAAAAACAAGCCAAAGAGCAAGCGAACGAACGAAGAACCTTCAAATTAAGAAGTCATTGAGGAATACCAAGAAATGAAACTGCCTGGCTCTTTTACTTGAAGTGCTGAAGGTTATTCATAAGCACTTCGTTTTTTAGTACCTTTGCTAGAAGAGTTTTCCCACAACCTGGTGGTCCAGCCAGTAGGATCCCTGGAGGGTGAGTGAGGCCGAGCGCTTGGAATTCTCCTGGGTATTTCACTGGAGCCTGACAAGAACGAAAGACAATTCATAATGATAACAGGACTGAGTCAAGTCCAATTCGGAGCGTAATCATACGAGTGATTAACAGAATCTGAATCAGACGACCGAGAAGCTAAGTCCGATGTTAATCACGAGTATGATTACAGACAAAATTGGACGACACATGTCCTGCCAGAATTTGAGAAATAAACTAGCCATCAGTCATACGTTCTCATAAAAAAACTACAAGAAACGAGGCGAAATGCGCGGCAGGAGAGCTTGTACATGACGCGTATTGTCCGATAACAAGCATGACATTCACACTGTCCTTTTGGTGCTAAAATCGGGCAGGTGATAACCAATCACGTTTAAGAATTTTGTTAAATTTTGATTAAATTACATCTTGTAACCCAGCTTCTATTAACCGTCTTTCCTCAGATGAAAACTAAAGAACGCTAGTGTTTTCAGATGTGACCTTGAAATTCTCCTAATCATACAACGAGGCCAGATGTCACAATTACATGAACTGCAAATGATACATATACAAGCAAAGAAATGATTCTCGTAGTTTAGCTGAAGCTTAAACTACTGTAGAAATGAAGTCTGAGAAATTCAGGCTTCGACGGGATTCACCTAAGGGACAAGTCCCTCATCAACTGCCTAAGGGGAGGGTCACGTGGAGGATTTTATTTTAGGGGAGTGATCACATGGTTCTCCGAACGAACGAAGAGGAGTCAGTCGCCGTCAACAGAGTATAAAAGGGGATCTATAGAAAATTGATTGCCAATTAACTGCCAATGAGGGGAGGTATAAGAATATAAGAGAAGCATGCTTCAACCTTCCCCTCCCTCCCTACCCCTGGCGATAAATAATCACCGGTCCCTAATGGATAAGCGCAAGGTGTTTACCAGAATAGCCATGGTAAGTTCTTGTCTGACATCTTTGAGTGCTCCGACATCTTCCCATGTCACACCGGGTATAGTAGCAAACCCTTCCCTTTTCGCTGATGGTTGGACTTGTGACAAGGCTGCCTATCACGTACACAACATGTTTGATAAACAGAAAAAAAAAAAAAACGCTTAGTTATTTGAGTTATTTTGGAAGCTGCAATTTCCTCATTGGTAACAAGGTGGGCTTGAGTTCGAAGGTCCGGGTTCGACCCGGATTTGTCTATCTTAGATTTTATCTGTACACAGTGCACCCACTAATTTTTTCTTTCTGACCTGCAGTGGTCATTCTGTGATACAGGTGCTATGATAAACTTCCGCTGCTGAGCAGGTCAGTACCGAAGAAAAAAAATATTAGGGACTAAGCATAAAGGTATCCAGTACCTTGAAATCGTTCATGTTAATACAAAGCTTCTTTAGCTCATTCTCTGTCAGCGGTGATTCCTCTTTAAGCCACTCAGTCACTACAAGAAAAAGAGAATGCAAATGCGACCATTCGATGAGCAGATTTCGGATCAGAAACTAAAACCAAAGTTATCACGACGGCCAATGACTACTTACAGTAAAAAAGGGCGGGAAATTGCACGCGACCAAGCGCGGTTGGTTTTTGTTTTGAACCTGATTGATTGAGAGGGTAGCGTGATTTTTCTCGACCAATCGTAAAGCAAAACCAATGTAATTCCAGATTACTGACGACATTTAACTAAAACCGGTCTGTCGTCATCTTTGAGATATAAACCATTTAAAGAAATAAAGTCTGTTTAAGAGCCAAGTGGCCCATCAGGCCGGCACATAACTCCGGTTTCCGTAGCGACTAGAAGTATCTCTACTCCACAAAGATATACATGTACAGGGCATCATTTTTGGTTCAGGTTTATCATGACGTTTTTCTCTGCGTTGCCGTCCCGTCGTGACTGCTTAAGGTCCTAACGCGTCAAACTTACCACTGAATGATCTAGGAACAGTATCAGACGATTCCTTTGTCTCGTTTTCCCCGTGAGACTCTTTCTGTTCCTCAGTTGTGTCCATCGTCTCATTTGTTTCACACTTGTTTGCAGCATTCCTTTCAAGTTCTTGAAATATTCTGAAAGCATCAAATGACTCGAGTTCAAGGTAGACCACAGGAAATCTCTTTCTAACGGGGCTACCACGCGCGCGAAGCACACGTGGGGCAGAGCCCCATACCCATGGAATATGGTCAAACTCTTTTCGTTTGGTTGTCACGTGACTGACCGAGCGTACGCACGTACGTACGCACGTACGTACGCACGTACGTGCCTTTAGATTGCACGGGTAGGGGAGACTATCAAAACGAAGGGAGGGGTGTCTCAAGCGAGTCTTGGCAAATGCACATCTTTTATGTTATAATTAATACTACGAACTTGGGAGCTCCGCTTTTAGGCTTGGCTAAATCTATATATTACTGGTTCAATTTGTCGTGCAAGCTAAATGAAATCTGTGACCTTTTTAGTTTCTTTTTAGACTGGGAGGAGAGACTGGAAAGATTCTTGGCTAACATGCCCTTGGCGGGTCATGTATCTTCGACCGATATATAGTCGGTCGATACTCGACCGATACGTCAGTTGACACTCGGTCGACACCTGGTTGATAGTCAGTCGATAGTCGGTCGATAGTTGGCCGATACTCGGTCGAAACTCAGTCGATAATCAGTCGATAGTCGACTATCGACCGAGTCTAGACCGTGTAACAGCCAACTATCGCCCGACTATCGACCGAACATCGACCGAGTGTCGACCGACTCTCGACCGATATATCAACCGATCTATCGGTCGAGGTACCTTAAAAGATACATGACCCACCTTAGCTACTCAGGAAGATCAAAAAGAAAGGAGCCTTTCACTGTCCACGTTTGAAGCGTAGCTAGTCAAACGAGTTCTCCTTTTCAGCACCACAGGATATTTGTGGAGAACAATACGAGGAGTATTCATACTGATGTTATGGTGTAAAGGGACAGTTAACCAACGCTTTCCTGCTGTATCATTAGACGATTGCTGCAGTATTATAAATATATCTTATTAACCAAGCGCGAGGGCCGTACTGGGAGAATATCGGCCCAAGGTCTTGACAGTACGGAACTCGCTGCGCTCGGTCCGTACAAAAAAGACCGAGGGCCGATATTCTTCCAGTACGGTCCCGAGCAAGCTTGGTTAATAAGAGATTTATTACACGACTGAAGTTCAAAGGGACACAAGTGCGGTATCATTCGGGACCATTTGGGACAGTGCCCGGTCCAATACTGAGAGAATATTGACCGGCAATAGAGCATTTTGATTGGTTGATTTTAGTTATTGGCCCTCTGACTGCCCGAGTCGTGTAATAATAATTA